TGATAATTTTCAATTGTAAGTTTCTGTATCTTCTATTAAACACTTCAGGGAATTAATTATGTATTAATTCAGTCTTTCAGTTGTTGTGGGGTTTTGGAAGGGAGACATTGCCTTGATATTTCAAGACTGTGATTTGTGAATCTGTTGGGTGTTTCTCCTTTACTTTCTCATATACGAACAAGCTACTGCATTAACAAAGTCAACAATTCAACAATTAACCAGATATTTGAATGAATAACAAACAATTGGAATCCTTATCTATCTCCCCACTAATATGTTACAGGAAAAATGTATGATTTTTAGGGGGCTATGTGTGGGGAAAGAAGTGGATTAGGAAGATAGAAAGGGAGGGAGATATAAGAGATAATAGTATGAGAAAGTGCTATATAGTTATGACATGGAAATAAGGAATGGTTTGGGAAATAAGGAGAAAATTTAAGAAACAATGAGAAAAAAAGATTAATACACTAACTAAATGAAAAAGAAAAGAAAGAAAGCACTGGTCAAGTTAAAGCAAATTATATGAAAAGGAAAAGGTTTATACTCCTTGCTGAAGAGAAGTGTTGATCTTCCCCATCCAATTGATTCCCTTTTCCCATGGTTATTATGGGAAGAACTTTGGGAGGGAAGACTTGCACCTCTGGCTATTTGAACATGCCAGGCCAATTTTTCAGTAAAGAGGTTTTTTTTTCCTAAGAGCAGAAATTCCTTGCATAGAGTGCAGGTAGAGTCTAATGGGGAGGGAGCAGATAGCTCAATGCATATGATTGACATGCTCCAGGGTCATTATCTTTAAAAAGATAATTGGTGGATTTGGTGGGGTTGTTTTGGGATTGCAACACCTTCTTAAATTAGAGAATTAGATATACTGTTGAAATGATCTAAGTGGACAGAGCTGCTTATTCAGTGGTAGCAGATTCAGCTAGTGAGTAGCAACGCAAAATAGTATGTCACCCTCTACTTAAGATTCATGCTGCCTTTTATCCATATTTATTGCAGGTCTTTAAGTCACGTGGGTTGCATGGCACTCGCCCTGCAGGCATGTAAATCAGAGTCTGTGAAAAAGCTAAATCCCCTCCAGCCTGCTGTGTCTACACTGAGTTTTACTTGGTCTCTGTCTTACCAAGCCTCTATGCAGGTTTAAGGCTAGGCAAATTTAGTTCACCTGTTAGCCAAAGGTATTTTTGGATGTCAAATGAATTTGTTCGACACATTGAGCTGGCCTGTGTATCATACCTCAGAACTGAATCTGTCTTGCTTAATTGGTTGGTGTTCTGCCCCATCTTTCTGGTCTGAATAGTGACACACACCAGTGAGTTGGCTTGATGTTCTGTCCTTACCCCTTTGTGTAGTTGTCTTGGTGACTCTCACAGGCATCTCTTAAGGAAAGCCATTCAAGTCTGGACAGGGAGAAAAAAGGAAAAAAAATGTAATCTGGGGAGGTTCATGGGATGATGCACATCCAGATCTAATTCTTAACACACATGGTGGGTTTGTGCTTTTAGAGGTTTAGTTAGGGGTAGTTATAACTAGCAAGTCTCTGTGGTTATACTCGCACCTCTTTTTAGCTTATTAAATTGACCACTTCTTGTACCCATGAACCTGAGGTTTTCTTTCAGATTTGTGGATACATGTAGAAATGGAGCTTATTAGCGATCTACCATCTTCCCTGAGTATCTCAAGAAAATATTAAATAAACATTTCATAATGGTTTTCATGAAGGTAGTGATGACATTACTATAAAACCACTGATCAATGTTAGTTATGACAAAGCAAAAAAGTGCCTGGTTCACAGCAGGCACTCACTCAATATTTGTGAAATGAATAAACATAATTATTCTGCAAATTACCATTTATAATCTAAGCAGATTGGCTTTAAAATCTTTGGAATACAAAATTTTAAATCCTGTAGACATGGTTGTGTTGAAAATTTTAACAATGCCTATGAAGGTGGTAAAAGAGTTCAGAAATTACAAAGAAATAGTGAATTTGCATTTATTTCCAGTTACTTATAAATTTGTTGAAAATATTTTAATAATAAATTTTAATGGGCAGGGTCACCATATGAGGTTTTCAGATACTGTTGGTAGATCTAGGGTCTATTCATAGACATTTTTTACTCTCCTTAGTTACCATAACAGATGACCAAAATCTGAGATTCTATACATAGATTCAATTTCAAACAAACAGAACATTTATTTCTGAGTAGGCCTGAAATTACAGACTCATATGATTAAAAAAAATGTAGTATTTCCTGTTTGCTTCTCAGCTTTACTTCTCAGCTGGCAAAGTAGTTCTCCACATGCAGAACTCAGACCAGAAGCAGCATGTGGGAGCCTGGCAGGCAGTCACCTTCCTGGGTGACACCTGAGACCTTCTGCATCAGGATTTCTGAGTGTGAGTCCTAGGTCCCTGAGTTTTAACATTTTAACAAGCTCTCCCTTGTGAGTCACATGTCTACTAAAAGTTAAGACCCACTGAGTTAGGGAGAACAAAACCCTGTAGCCTACCAAACCATTCCCCATTTGTGTGGAAAATTTAATGACTTCAAGTCCCAGGTGATACAAACATATAATATTTTTGTCATTCAGTTCAGAATTCTGCTTCAAAACATTTCCCATACCTCAAAGAAAGCCTGAAAGAAAGTTTTTCTCCAGGGAAAGCAACATAGTTTTTAAAATCTGTGTAACTAGAGAGGACCCATGTCAGAAGTTGATGGTCACCTTTGATAGCTACCCACACACTAAGAACACCTGAGGTGAGTTTTCCAATCTTGGATAAGAAAAGAAGAAATGATTGTATCAAAATTCTGACCAATGTCGGAGACAAGGCTCCCTTTGTGAGCCATTCTGTCTTGACCTTGCCCTGGAACATTTTGTGGTTGTTTGTCCCAACTTCTCCATCTCCAGCACAAGATGGCGCCGTCCCTGCTTCTCTTCCGGGAGTTTACCTTGCCGCCGGCGCGAACGGGCACCCTATAGCAGAACCAGCCAACCAGCCTGCACCTCCTCATACCCCTCACTCCCTCAGCACATAAATACCCCTGTATGAACAATAAAATTTTGCAGCTTGATCAGAACTCCTGTCTTGCTGTCTCCTTCGTGTCTCTTGTCCCTTCATTCTTCCCCTTCTAGGTTCGCTACCCACGCTGATGTGTCCTACAGGACGGGACAGACCAAGCCTTATAATTTCCAAATTAAGTTTGGAAAACAAGATGACAAATTCAAACAAGGGAGGAAATTTCTCTCTCCCAAAATAAGCAGATAGATGAAATCCATATGTTTTATTCATATAAATGTATTGCAATAATGTGCTATTCAAAGAAAACCTGTAAATTAAAATGTGTTTATGTTTTATGTGTGTACATAGGTAAAGCTTCTGTAACACACTTCTTTTAATTGTCTCTGTTGTTAATAGAAGAGTAGCCATGGATGGCTATACATTTGACACAAATAATAAATTTGAGGGAAGCATAAATTTGTGATTCATATTCATAGAATATGAGCCAAGAGACTTTCAAATATTCCAACTAAAACAAAAGTTCAAAATTTTAGTAAATTTAGTAACCATTTTCTCATAATTTGAAGCTAGCAACTGGTGCCAGATGTGAGTTACAGAAATGTAATGCTCATGTGTTATGTTTGTTCTTACAAAAAAAAAAAAGATGTGAGACAGAGCAAAGTAAGTCTGCACTGTCAAAAAGAAAAATTGGAAATATATGGAAAAATTCATCTCTCAGACTGATATGGAATGGGGACCCAACACTGACATCAAGGTTTAAAATTCTCCCTGATACCATTTTTAAGAATATGATTTACCAAATGCCCACAAAAAAAGATCTGGTGATATTTACATACTTAAAACAACTCTCCAAATGACATACAGCAGTTCTGCCAGTTTCTACCTAATTCTCACTGAAAGTTTGCAGTAACACAAGAGTCAATACTGACACACATCAAACCTCATATACTGATGTAGTTTCTAGTGAGGGAAGACTACTTGGTTATTTCCAAGATCAAAACTCTGCATCATGAACTAAAACTTAGTTTCCCATTTCTCTGAAATGTAGATTGCTTTATACCTCAGTTCTCTTTCTAAAGCATTTTAACTAGGCACTTGAATACTTTCTGTCTACTTTTAAAACAATCTCAGAGCAATCAATGTCTTGCTTACCTTGCAAATGTCTTTGTTCATAGTAAGTAGTCAATAGCTATTTGATTGCTTCACCTGAAGAACAATTACATAAATAGCAGTTAAATAATAAAATGAATGTTGAAATAGGAAGTTGCTAGATATCCTATATAATTAAAATAAATGCCAAAATTGAGAGTAGCACATATTTCCTTTGCAAAAGTAATTTTGTTCTTGATTTTAATAAAATGTCCACTAAAGAAAACAATAATTAAAAAAGCAATAACACTACCAATTTTGTCCCTGGGTTCCTCAATAACAGAGCCTTTTAATAAAATGTCCATTTAATTTTTTAGGAAAAAAAATGGTTATCATCATCATAGCTAAACCATGCTTCAATTTCCAATATCACATTTCCTCTAAGAAGTCATTGTGTCTGCTAAAATAATATGACACACAGCAGAAACATAGCCCATCTAGTATTCAGAAACCTCATCAAAGCCCATCATAGCATTCATGTTGATTACTTAAACAAAATCAATGAGATTCACCTGTGGAAATGAAATAGTGTTTTTTCATGCAGTAAACACAACCATTTTCCTTGACAGGAGCTGTGACTTGACCTAAGTTTCCCTTATGGGTTACTACTGATTTACTAGTGCAAAGTTAATCTCCATGCATACAAGAAAAATGTATCTTCACTTTTGGATTCTCAACACCAGATGCACAGCTGGAAAACAATAAGTCCTTAAACATTAGTTCTTGACGTGAACAATGATGAACAAATGAATAATTTCTTTTAGTATATTTTTACTGCATATACCAAATCATTTTATTTTCCAGGTGTTACCACAATTTTTACTTTCAAAATGATTAAGTCAAATGAAACCACAATGAGTGAATTCTTCCTCTTGGGATTTTCTGCCAATCGTGAGCTGCAAATCTTCCATGCTTTCCTGTTCTTGGTCATGTATCTTTTGGCCTTGGTAAATAACTTCGTCATTATCACCATCACAATGGTGGACCCACATCTCCAAACTCCAGTGTATTACTTCTTAAAGCACTTTTCCCTTCTGGACCTCGCTTTTATTTCTGTCACAATCCCCCAGACTATTGACAATTCACTGAGAGACAATAGCTACATTTCATATGGCCAGTGCATCCTGCAGGTTTTCTTCTTCACATCTTTGGCATCAGCTGAACTGGCCATACTCACAGTGATGTCTTATGACCGCTATGTAGCCATTTGCCTCCCACTCCACTATGAGCTCATCATGGATCCCAGAAACTGTAAGTTGGCTGTGACAGCTGTGTGGCTAAGTGGAGGCATCACTGGAATCCTGTACACAACAGCAACATTTTCTATCACATTCTGTAAAGCCAAAATAATCCACCAGTTCTTCTGTGATGTCCCCCAATTGGTCAAGCTTTCCTGCTCCAGTGATTACATGGGAGTAATTGGAGTGGCTGCTTTCCTCTCTGTGGTTGCCTTTGCCTGCTTCATCTCCATTGCCCTCTCCTATATCCACATATTCTCCACAGTGCTAAGAATACCCTCTGCTGAAGGTCGGTCTAAGGTCTTCTCCACCTGACTGCCCCACCTTGCTGTTGTTTCATTTTTAATCTCCACAGGAGCATGTGCATATCTGAAACCAACTTCAGACTCTCCATATGCTTTGGACCTTATGCTGTCTATCTTTTACACAGTGATACCCCCAACTCTCAACCCTGTTATCTACAGCCTGAGGAATGAGGCAATGAAGGAAGCTTTAGGGAGGCTTCTGTTGGCTGGAGAATTCACTGAAAAAAAAACGTTTTTACTGTTGCATTAGTGACTGTCCAATTTTATACACAGGGAGCATTTTATTAATTAGAATTCCCTCAACATGTGGAATTAAAATAAAGCAATATTTGTCATTGTAGAAACTCTTCATATGATTCCCTCATCATTTCAGTTCTTAAAGCCATGGATTATTCTTCAATATTAGGAGAAATAATCAATTACATAAATTTCTAATTTAGACCCTCTACATACGTCCTCCTCCTAATACATGTATGCACAACCACACACACCCTCAATAGACAGACACACTGACAATCACAGCACATGATTTAATACCTCTGCATGGGCAATATTATAATAATAAAAACAAAATGTGATAATACTTACCTACAATTCTTCCCACCAAACAAGTCCTAATTCTCAACTCAACCATTTAATTTCAAATGTTCATTTAATTTTTAACTCTCTACAGTCCAATTTTGAATATTAGTACAAACTTGTATGCAAGTTTGTATGTAATGTACACCTACATTGTTAATCATGCAAATTGTATTGATGCACAGTACTCAATAGAATTTATATTAAAGTAAATGTCACAATTCAGCTATTTTATATATAATCATTATTTTCAATTTCTTACATTTTAGAAATTGTTAGCATAAATTAATTGTAAAAAAAGGGATTTATTGTTATATTTATAATTGCATATAATGTACTGTGATCAAATTCTCCCAATCTATAGGCCTCTTTCTTAACTACCCGCTTTCCTTCCTCCTCATTTTTAAGTTTTTGGTGGGTTTCATTGTGTTGTTTTCAAACACATATATAATGCACTTCTATTATATTCATCCCCTAGAGCCCCAATTTTTTACTCTTATACGTAGTGCTAAAGCTTGAAGTTTTTTTTATAATTCTAGATAATGGTGTTGTTGCTTCCAAGTGTACAAAATGTTCAACTGTCAATTCACTTTGACCGTATTCATTTCCAACCAGATTAAATCATTTACATGACTGTGAGTGATGGATGGCCCTGTAGCATATTCTCTACATCTCACATGGTTTTATTTATAGAGGAACTTTTGGCAGGTTGAAATCACACCAGTTTCTAGGAACACAAAAATACCTTAGATGAACACAGCATTAGAAAGGGTGGGGAATTTTTTTATATCAATAATAGCTTAACTTTTCTAATTTTTTCAAACATTTGATAGTTCAAGAGATTAAATATGCTTGTAATATTCATTCATTTATTTCCCATATTATACATTTTCCTCTATTTTATCAAAAGTTTTGCAGGTATTATAATTTTGTGTTTTATGATGGCAAAATTGTTTTCTCAATTCTTTAATTCAATTCTCTGTAAGTTATTTTCTATACAAACCATATATCCATTAAGATGAATATGAGTTTTAATGACTGAGGCAACAAGCCTTAACCAGTCTAATTTATCAAGACAGAATAGTTCTGTTATTAACTATTCAACCCGTCTTCAATAACACATAAATTATACTTGTTTTTGAGTTATACGCCAATGACACATTTCAACCCAATTTCTGAAATACTTCCTTCATTGAGCTATGATTTTAATGAGCTTACTGAGTTGGATAAAAAGCATGTCAGTTTGTATTTCTATACCTATGTGTTTTTGTTAATCTTTGTTGAGATAATTAAAATAATTTTCAGTATCAGTGTTTGGACTCAGTCTTACACTTGCTAGGCAGGTGCTCTACCACTGGACCAGGCTCCCAACCTTTTGGCTTTACTTGCTTTTTGGATATAGGCTCATGTGTTTTCCCAGGTAGACCTCAGACTGTGATCCTCCTTCCTATACCTCCCACATAGCTGAGATCATAGGGGCATGCTGCCATACTCAGCATGTAGGTTGAAATGGGGTCTCTCTAACTGTTTGTCCAGTGTGGCCTTGAACCTTAGTCCTCTCAATCCCACCTACCAACTACTTGAAATTACATGCTGGTATTTGCCACCATGCCTGGCTCTATTGCAATATTTTTGCTAATTAGATAGTACTATCTTGTTGATTCTTGCATGATTTGAGTAGAAGGCCAATTTTCATCCTAGAAAGTATTTTCATTGTCTTCTGTTATTCCCATAGATACATTTTAATGTCCTCATTCAATTTAGTAAATATCATGTCTGTCCTTAAGATTGAAAATCATTTAAAACATATAAATATACATTTATTTGGAAATATTGTGCTTCCCAAAATTCAGTAACTTTCCCATTTCACATTTTCTTTCATCCTAAATATGTTTAATTTAATATATCTATTAAGATAATCATTTATTCTTTCCATCATTACTCATCTAAATTTATTTGAATGCCAACTAAAAATCTGTGAGTGGCAAATTATAGTGTCTGTATTTCTATGGAGCATATTCTGTCATGGGCAAGAGACCATCAAGAAATAAGTATATAAACATGAGCTTTGTTTTGTGTAACCAATGATATAGAGCTAAAGAGAGAGGGAAGGTAAGATAGTGCAGGAAAATTCATATTTTATACAGTAAATCCTTCACTAATAACATCACAGATAAGTGGAAATCTTAAACAAAAGGAGAAGCTAAGAGACATCTGGTTAAGAGCATTCCAGGCAGAGAAAGCAGAAAGCACAAAGACCAAAGCAGGAGTTCCTCAGAACAGGTGGCCCATAGTAAGGAGCCTGGGCTTCTCTATTTATTCTGGAATATTACTGGATTAAAATTTTTTAAGTTTTATGACTCATCAGAAAAGGTTTATTAGGCTCCACAATAATACTATTAATGTTCATTTTATGTAGTCATTTTTATTATGCACATTACTTACAGGATTTTTTTGTGAACTAAATTTTAAAACATGTTAGCATAAAGTTTTACAATTTATTTTCTCTGAATTTTGGTTCCCTATTACCTGTGGATATAACCCCTTTCCATGCATATCATTCATTTATGCATCATTAGCTTTAATTCTTAAACATTTTTTAGACGTGATATTTATAATAACTTGGGAAAGAAAACTTTTGCTCTTATATAATTATATCTCTTTCACTTATTTGAGAATATCCTATTTTTATTTCTAAATTTTATGTTAGATGTTTGTCTTGTCAATATTTAAATTTTTTGTTCTATGTATAAGGAACACTACATATTACCATCAGAGTACCAGTTAGTTGCTGCTCACACTTTGATAAATAATACTTTTGCCATTAGATTTCTAATATTTCATGATAACCTCCTGTAGTCCATGCAATTAGGTTTTTCCAAAAAAATAATATAAGTAACTCTTTTAAATATTTAATGGAAACTCATATTTACTTTTAGAGAGTTTTGAATGTTTAAAATTAATCATTATCATAAATTATGAGCAAATACTTAAAATTGTTTCAATGAAATCCAATTTATTGATCTTCATCTTTCTGGTTAATATATTTTTGCCCTAAACAAATCAATGTTTATCTACTCCATGGTTATGCAGTTGTTCTCCTGTATGTTTTCAGGAAGTTTTATTATTTCACATGTAGCTCTACATACACCTGCAATTGGTTTTATGAAAAGCATGAGGAAGGAAACATGATTTCTTTCTGTATCACTATTCAGTTGCATCAGCGCAGTTTATTGGAAGACTGTGGGGAGTCCCACAATGTTGCAATGTCATGTTTACCATAAATCTGGTGCCAGTGTGCATATGCATATGGGTCCAGAGAAACTCTTCTGTACCACTGTTCTATTTAATTATCATAGATTTATAATGAGTTGCACTATCAAGTGAAGGATACGTTCTCAGGTTGTGACTTTTAGACCAATACATTTCATATTGTCATGCAATCATGGTATCAACTTCCATAAAATTAAGACCTACTTGAATTTTAATGGCAGCCACAGTCAATTTGCAGATCAATTAGAGAAGAATTGACATTTCAACAATATTAAAACATCTAACTTATGAAAATGCTAAAACCTCAATTTACGTTTTTAAAATTTTTTTGTTTATTTATTCACATGTGCATACATTGTTTGGGTCATTTTTCCACCCTGCTCCCCTCCCCCACTATTCCCTCCCTCCCTTCCTCAGTTTCAGGCAGGTCCCGTTCTGGCCTTACCACTGATTTTGTTGAAGAAAAGACATATGCATAGTAAGAAAGACAAAGCATTTTTTCTAGTTTTAAGGATAGCTATACAGAGAGATTCCTACTATTGCTTTCATGTACCCATGTGTTACGACCCATGTTGATTCAACTCTAACTGATCTTTACCTTGGTTTCTGATCCCCTGCTCATGATAACCTGTCGTTTTAAGGTTTTTGTATTAGTTCCTCTGGAGTGGGGACATCAAACGCTTTCATGTTTTGGGTTTTCTACCTATTCCTATATCTCCCGTATGTGCTCTCCCCTTTTCTTGTGATCCAAGTCCAACCACATTGCTGCATCTGCCCTAGATCTAAAGTCCGCATATGAGGGAGAACATGCGATTTTTGGTCTTCTGAGCCTGGCTACCTCGCTCAGAATGATGTTCTCCAGTTCTGTCCATTTACCTGCAAATGATAAGATTTCATTCTTCTTCATGGCTGAGTAAAATTCCATTGTGTACAAGTACCACATTTTCTTGATACATTCATCAGTAGTGGGGCATCTTGGTTGTTTCCATAACTTGGCTATTGTGAATAGTGTGGCAATAAACATGGGTGTGCAGGTGCCTCTGGAGTAACCTGTGTTGCATTCCTTTGGGTATATCCCCAAAAATGGGATTGCTGGATCATATGTTAAGTCAATGTTTAGATTTTTAAGACGTCTCCAAATTTTTTTCCAGAGTGGTTGCACCAGCTTGCACTCCCACCAGCAGTGGATTAGGGTTCCTTTTTTCCCACATCCTCGCCAGCACTTGTTGTTGGTGGTGTTTTGGATGATGGCTATTCTAACAATGATGAGGTGGAATCTTAGTGTGGTTTTGATTTGCATTTCCTTTATGGCCAGAGATGGTGAACATTTTTTCATGTGTTTTTTGGCCATTTGAATTTCTTCTTTTGAAAAAGTTCTGTTTAGTTCACTTGACCATT